CCCGGGATCTCCTTGACGGCCCTGCAGAGATGTAACCCATGGTTTACAGTTGAAGGAAATAAATGAAGCACTTTATGTTTCAGCACTGCTTTATAAGGAATAAACTCCACTGAACTAGTAAGGTCAAGATCTTATATTTTCTTGGAGAAATGGTATATACTGCACCTGGGGTCCTGGTGGGCCCTTTTCTCCTACTGGACCAGGGGGACCCTAAATAGCACACATAGTTTGGGAATATTAGTCATCACAACATGCAAATGACAGTGTCACAACAGTGTAAACCGAACTATATTTATCCATAGAATTGAAGAAATAAAGATTCCCAAAATTTAAAATAAAAACGATTGGCTTGTTTTAGATCCCAGTGTTTGTACTTGATCCCTCACACACTTACTGGTGGTCCAGACTTCCCAGTTGGTCCAGGAGGCCCTCTTAGACCTGGCTCTCCCTATAAGAAAACAAATGTTCTCCTTTACCTAAAGTTACTATTGTAAAGGCTAAAAACATTGTGGCTATGCTCTAAACCCAAGTGATCTGTCTAGTTTTTTAGTCATCAACCTAATAGGAAGGTTGTTCCAACCTTGTAATGGATAAGGGAATTCCTGAATTCAGTCATTTACAGTATGAGGTTCCATTCTGTTTAGGATGTTGCCTTAAAAGTCAGTGGCCTATGCAGACTGTGAGGCAGCACACAAACCATAAGAATGGAGCCTTTATCCGTATGAGAGCTTCAACATTATAACTGCAATGTACAACAGCATAATATAATGACATATCGCTGTTAATGTGGGACGGTTAAAGTGTAAATTGTCTTTACTCTGTTTCCAGTGTGGCCCAGTCTTCCTCTCATACCCACGTTTCCTGGAAAACCCTTAAGAGAATACGACAGAGTGAGCTGGCTATGTCAAAACATCAAACGTAAAACATTATTATCCTCATCCCACTCCCTCTCTCTCTATAAAAGTCCTGTAGAGGGGTCACTTACATACATGCCAACAGGGCCCTGCGGTCCCACTGCTCCTGTCTTTCCAGGGAAACCCTGAGAGACACACATGCCAAAACATCCTGAAAATCAACAGCTCGATTCCATGAACTATATGGAAAAAAAAAATCATAAACATACCCTCTCTCCTGGTGGTCCTGGACTGCCCATAGGCCCCTCTCGTCCAGGTGGACCCTGTCAGTCGAAACAAAATCATCAGTAGAGATTTAACAATTCACAAACAGATCACTATGCTGTGTTTTTTTTATGGTTAAGTTGCTGAAGTGGTATTAGTCTAATTACATTTCTCAATAACCTCTCTGCTCATAAAAAGCTAATTGAATAGGCAAAATGAATCACCTGCATACAGTTAAATGCTAATATGAGGTAAAGGCTGTGTTTATTTGATAAAAAAATACAGTAAAAAAGTAATTACTTTTGATCAATTTAATGAGTCCTTACTGAATAAAAGTATAAATTTAATGCTGATTTACGAACACTTTACAAAAGCACAAAAACTACTTTTGATATACATTAAGATTAATAATAGCAACAATGGAACATGCTACCATGTCATAAAATTGAATCTTAATACCACTCGATACCCCTTTGTTGAACCTTGTATGACTGCATACCATAACATTGGGTCAAGACAAGAGTTGAGTTAATCGGCTCAGACACAACTGTAGTTGCTTTACAGGATTCAAGCTTTTACAGGATTCATACTTATAAGACAAGTTAAACCGAACAATGACTGATTTAAAGATCTAAATAGGCTTTGATCTCAATTTGCATGAGCTCCATTGTTGTGTGAGAGAAGAAGAGTAGAATGTATGTGAGTGTAATCATCTGCTTTACGCACATAGAAATGCTAAAAA